CAGCAACGATCCTGAAATTGCACAAGCTGGTATCGAGTTCCTGCAAAGACTGATCGGCAAATTCCCAAAGATGCTTCTGAATCATCAACCCGTAGCCTCATTAGAATTCCTGTTCATGTTCGCACTTGGTGCTCTTGGCGGAACCGATCCTCTACCAAAAGCTGCTGCAGCTGAATTCTGGGTAAATAACCTCTAGAGTTAGAGATTTCAATAGCGTACTAACTTCCTTAGGCAACACTCATCGGCCTTTCAGACCAGCCACCGGACATCCAAGCACAGCTCGATGGTGCCATACAAGCAATAGGACCACATCTCGCACAAAAACTCATCTTCAACTTCGGTGGCCATGCTGCTCGCAGCGAGCTTGACAAGCTTTGTGATCCTCTAAAGAAGCTTGTCGTGCGCCAAGCGAACTCCAAAGCTTGGTTCGAAGCCGCTTTACTTGACCCAAGCTTCCCGAGCGACAAGATCGAGGTTAGGGACAAGGAAATTTTCCTACAGAAGATAATGTAGTATGTCCCCTACCATTCCGATTGTAGACTGGTGCTAACTTCGCAGCTTGCGTGGCGCAAGAGGAACAAATCAAGTCGTCCGCGAGTTTTGGCTGTTGTGCCGAGGGTCAAATTTCGCATATGCATCTTAAGACTTGTGATGGATCCACGATACCCACGTTTGATGGTAAAGAATGAATGGATAGACGAGGTATCATGTCGAGTATTGATGAGATAAGAAATGAAATATCTTTGTAAGACTTCATCTTGTGCCTTTTTACTCTATGTGCAGCCTTCCTCTTTTACCAAAAACCACCGCGAATCATATTCAATCATAACCTAACGGAATCCTAATAGCAGGCGAGCGCCTCAAAGCTCCTAGCATTCTGCAGCTTCTAATCCGAAATATATGAGGGCTATAATTCCCATTTTGCAATTTCTTCATTCTGCAAATTTGTTCGATTTTGAGTGCTAACTTTTTCTTCTCTTCATTCATACCACAAAAACAGTGGAAGTTTACAACCCTGAATCCTCCATCCTAGACTCAAGCTTAGAATTACGAGCCTAAAAAGACCTAGCTAAGATGGGCATTCTACTTCCTCAAATGTATAGAGAATGACCAGGAGGATGACAACTGTACCTTGGCATGAAACTAGGTAAATCTAGATATTGATTGATCTTGTTCTTAGTCATTTTCGAAGAAAAGGTAAACGAACGAAGTGTCTAGGCTCAATTTTCGCATCTAAGAACTGAAGTTCCGAAGTAGCAGGTGATAACAAGACGATGGTCTCTCGATCGACATTCACAACAGCTACCTATGTTCTGCGATTTCAGAAGCTGGAGCATTTCCAAGAGTGAAGTAGGTTACTTTAAAGGGTGATGGTGGTTCTTGTGAAATTTGGAGAAGTGGGCGGAATAAACACAGATTATAGTATCTCAAGCCCCGTTGCCTTCAGCTCGTTCACTTCATTCATATCTGCGATTTCAACTTGGGCTGCCATTAACTAATTAGTCCGTTCTAACCCTATACTGAGAGACAAGGAACCAAGTGTTCTGAGTTACTGGTACGGCACTGTAGTCGTTTTAATAAGCTCCGACAATTTACTCTTCATTAAGTAAAGTTCAATATTAACTAGGAGGCTTTTCAAGAATACCCTGAGCATTCCCTCCCGGACCTGTATATAGACTTTGCTGACTATATAGCTTCGCAATTCATAGATTTGGAATCATGTCGGACTATCGTACTATCCAAAAACACCATTAAAGTCTAACATAATTCTAGCACTTCTCTGCGTGCAAGGCCTATACGGCCATCTTCTTCTCAAAAAAATCATTTACGAATGCTTGCAACATGCACTTTCCACATAACTAGAAGAAGGCAATGATTTAATTTTTTTCTATCATCATACAACCATATAGTCATTAAGCATCCTCAGTCGTCCAAGTCAAGCCTTCAGCTCGCAAGAGCAGTGCGGTGCTGCAGATAGTCCTTTCGGAACGGGTTGACATCGATTTCAGGGCCACGATTAAGTGGAGTCCATTTGGGCTCTTCCTTGAATAGCCTCATAGCGACAATGTACTACTTTAAGTCAGACAATAGCCCCACGATACAATTGAATACACTCACGTTCTTGTCGTCTGTTGTGAATCGGTGGTAGATACCAGCTGGCAGAATCTGACCTTCAATCAGTATTCTTCCTTTACACTTTCAAAGTGAACCTACGATTAGATCATCTTTTTCTAGAAAGATCCTAACCCATTCATCGCCCTCACTTCTCACATCGAAGAATCCGGATCCATCTCTAATATATCTGATCTCTTCATCTTCATGTATGTGCTCATTGAAGAACATCTTGACCTTCTCCTCGTAAACATCTCCCATCTTCTCTGGCGAAACGGTGATCACGTCTCTGTTTTTGTAGCTCCTATCGCTAGCTAGCTGATCGACATCTTGCTCGTTGTTGATATTGTAGTAGAGAACGCCGAGTTTCGAGAGGTAGTCTGCAGAGACTGCTCGTCCAGAGTCGTGAGGAAGGCGTTGGTCGCCCTGGCGCATGTCAGCTATTGAGCTCTTGCTTATTGATGTTCTGACTTGCATACCGCTTCGTTGTCAAACCAGTATGCCTTCATCTTGGCAGCTTATTCTTATCGTTCACTTCAGGAAGGAAAAGAGAATTCGCTCTTCAAATACTGTCAGGAGAAAGGCGAAGACAGAGCGTAGACGCCGAAGTGGTTTGGTCCTGCGTTGTAAGATTTTGGAGCGGCCGCCGAAAGCTTTCCATTTTCCCTCCCAGCGCCCCTCCATTTCATCATCGCACCTGATTCGAAACGCAAACAACCCCGCTATTCGCTGACTCAGGAAGAACGTGGCCCATGTGAATGGTGCAATCCAGCATAACTTTTACGAGCTACGAATCTTTCCTTCCTTTCTTTCGCTCATTTTCGAGACTTCCGCCAGTCAAAGCCACGATCGATGGCTTCCAACCCTGGCATACACGTGAAGTGCACCGTTTCTAGCATCTCGGGAACAGGTACCATATCGCGGTCGCCACGGTGGAGATGTTATTCATCACCAAGCGGTGAAGATATTTTGTTTGCAATTCGCGGATCTTGAGAACCCAGCCACTAGAGATGCAAGTGCATTAATCTTGTGGTATCGGATGCGCAGCACATCTGTTCGCATATACCTTATCATAATGCATTTCTAGATATCACCGAGAGACGGCAGATATCGCTAAATTCCCATATCCTGCCCTACTGGAGATATGCCGTTGTTCAACGGACCTGATTGTGGAAAGGAGGTCTCAGGTAGCCTCTTTTCGGTTGTTCCGGAAGCTTGTTGATCATTGGCTGAAGCCTAAAGAAGCACATGCTCATGCAAGATACATGTGGCCATGTATCATATGTTTGGACCCCACGCAAGCCCGGTCAAGCCACCAGGCACTGCTGTGGGATACGCTTCGGCTCCACAAACGGATCCTAATGCTGGAGACGCTTATGAGGCTGATGGCTGACAACAACCGCCCAGGACCTTGGCACCTCCTGGCCCAATTATGTATGCATTTAAAACTCGGGCATCTCCTTCCAGTTCTTGGCTCTGGGTGTGGCTACGCTACAACGGTCAATCTCAAAGTATCAACGTCTTGGCTTCAATTTTTGAGGAGCTGGAGACTCTATTGTGAGGTCAACTTTGCGATTGCTTTCAAGACATTGGCTGGCCAGGCTTCATGCACGCCGAATGTGCTACTCGAGGACAAGTATGCATGGTTTCAGTATAAAGTTTACTGAGATGTCCACATATTATTGCTCATATTCACCAGTTCAGTAAGATACTTTGACTAAGACAATTTCCACTGCCTTTCTTCTTGCCCGCAGACACAAAGCATCGTTTTTACAGACCACCTATAAGGTCATCAATAGTCGTCGAGTCCAGCAAACAATTATCTCAACAATATCTTCTCACTGGTCTCCTTCCGTTTTCCCAGCTTTTGCCCTAGACAAGCATTACCTTCAAGACCATGTCTACCACAACATTGACCACCAGATGGAGCACCAGCTCCTCCCGCACACACAGATATAGCAAATCCGGCATTGGTGGTGCAGGAAACTACCGCAAATCTTCCGATATCCTGCCATCACCAGCGCTCCCCGCCATCACGGCCCGAACCATCGGCACATTCTCCACCAGCATTGGCGGCGCGGGCAACTATCGGGATCTTCAAGAACGACCCATTGTTTCCTCATCTTCAAAGGCTGGGAGAGAAGAAGCCCAACGACGGGCTGCAGCGAAGAACTGGTATCATGGGATTGGAGGAGCTGGAAATACGACTGGCATCAAGGATAAGAAGGCGAGCAGTGCGGGTTTTGACTTCGGATTGGGCGGAGGGAGTAATGCAGATAAGATGAGGGATGGATTGCTTGGTGTCTTTTGGAGAGCGAGCGGGGCGGAGCTTGTTCCGGAATCTTCAATTGAGTCGTTGTCTTTGAAGGATTAGTAGGGCAATAATTGTGGGGCTGGAGTTGGAGTTTCGTTTTAAGGATTTGGGGGAGCAATAATACCCTTAGGCTTAGAAGAGTTTGAATTTCATCGGGCTTTCGTTCTCATGGCTTGTCACGCTCGACTTAGACATTCAGTGCTTGCCAATTTCAATGCTCGACTGCGCTTCTCGCTTTCACCCTAGCACAGGAATCCTATTTCAACAAGTCCAGTATTGTATATTACATTGTATATTCCATACTTGTGAGCATCAGTAAGTACTCGGAGCAGCCCTACTTAGCATGCTTTCACTACAGGATAGCCGAGTTACTCCCATCACCTACGAAGCATAAAAAGCCATCCCTAACAACATCACCTCTACTTTCTTTTGACAACGCCTGCATTCCCTTTTCTTGAACTAGACCCCCTCCTCTTCTCGCTAAGCTCTCGCTTACCCACAGCATTCATTAATCGAAACCCCATAAACAATAGCTCAAAAAAACAGGTACAAAAGATAAAAATAAAAAAGATGATGCAACCGCCGTGAATCGAACACGAACCTCCACCTAACTCAGGAGAGTGGAAGGGTGGAATCCTAACCACTGAGATGTTGTTAGTCCAAACTCTTTCTTGTTGTGTGGAATAATGCTTACTTGGACCACGGAAGCTTTGAGGCCATGATTGGCTATTGTGGAGGCAAAATTGGTTAATCAACCTTATAGCGCAATTCGAAAGGTTGGCGGTGAACTTGGGAGTGGGATGGAAGCGCCTGTGGCTATTGGCTGGGAGTTCGTTGTGGGTACGAGAATGAGATAGGGTGGGGGCCGTAAAAGTGGGGTAAGGGCATTATCGTGATGATTTGGAAACTTTACCTACTGTGGTATTTTGATACTGTTATGGTAACATGTCACATCGGATAGTGGGCACTGTATGAAGATATATTTTTGAGATTTCTTCTGTCTAAAGCACTATTTTATGGGAGACAAATAAGCCTTGTTGTACTTCTGAGTATGCCTACCTACAATAGGCTTGCCATGGCGGGCTTTCTATGGGCCTCAGAGTTTATACCACTTGCCATTATAAGATGAGCAGACTTTTGCCCATCATCCAGACTTCGTGGTATGAAAGTAGACTGTTTTCCCCGAAGACTTCTCGTACCGCAGCCCATACCGCAGCCCAGCGACTAGTCTTCGTAGGCTGGTCTGTCAACGCAAGGACTCTGCCTTAGCCTTTCACTTCAACTTCTGAAGTGGTAGACCTCAAGTCTCTGCTATCCAAGGATAGTCCTCAGTCCCAATCATCATCGTCCTCGTCCTCCTCTTTCCTGGCCTTTTTCACTCCCCACTTCACACCGCCAGCGTCTTCTGTGGCTTTGGCTCTCTGTATAACTCCTGAGCTTAATAGCCTTGCCTCCAAGTCCTGTGTCGTGAATGTGTCCGGTGTATAGCCTAGACCCTCGAAACCCACAACCCTATCAACGCTCTTCCCATCAACAAAAGCCAGCACGCACGGCAGAACCTGGACTTTTAACTTCGTGACGAGGAACGGCGCGTTCTCCACATTCATTTTTAAGAACCGTGTATCGAAGTGCTTCTGAGCCAGACTCTAGAACAAAATCAGATCTGCAAGGTATCAGAAATGCAATTCATACCTCCAAATGCCCATCCATGACTCCACATCTTGCAAAATCGTCTTTTGCAAAATGTACCACAGCATATTTGACCTCGGTCGTCAAGTCCATCAACGCCTTCTCCTCTTTGATCTCCGTGTAATTCCCGAATCCCTGATTCTTCTGCGATTTCGCTCTCGTAAACTCTGAGTGCAGCTGCTGAATTCGTTGTTCTCTGAAGGCATCTAGAGCAGGAGAGTCTTCGAGGGAAGCAATGAGAGCATCTTCATCGTCCGAATTGCCTGTATCAAGGACCCTCGCTACATGCGAATCTATGTTTGCCATAACTCTTGGGAGTGTGAAGAGTACTGCTCGAACGGTTGGCTAGAACGCGTGAAAAGTACTATAGCAATTTCGTGATGCAGGTTCAACGCGACGCCCACCCTAGTCCTAATTAGGCCGCATGTATAGACCCCTTCTAGCAACGTATTTCATGAATAGGGGACAGTTTCTTTTTTGACTAAATACGATCTGCTTTTGTTCCTATTCTGACTTATGTTTCTTTAATTTTTATTGAGCGTTCTCACTGTCACGGAGCCTGAATTTTGTCAAAGGCGGTCTTGCCTCAGATCCCTGCACCCTTCTAAAATTAACCCGCTAAGAATTTAGGAGGAGAGGCCAAATTCCCATCAAGAACTACAGCATTTACCCCCTTCGACCCTGAACGACATCTCAAACTCTTCGCCATTCCCGCTGCTCGACCGATGCTGCGATAATAACGTCCTATTCTTCTGCGACCGCCTGCGACTTCGAATTCGGCAGAAAACCCCCGAACCCCTTTTGTGACACTTGCGCGTCAACCTCAACTTGTCCGTACCGTTGTGACAAAACCCCCGAACCTCAGCAACAATGAACGATAAGAAGAATGAAGATTATACCATCAAGATGCCAGAAGTTGAAATGCGCAATTTCAATGGACGGTCATCGCCTTCACAACGGGAGCCTTTCCTGGCCAGATCGAATTCTGGCCCTTCAAGGTCGGGGCCTCCCAAAGTACTCTCCAGCATCACAAACAGCCCCCCGATCTCGATTCTAGCATACTGTTTAGCTTCGATATCTATGACAATTACCAACAAGTACTGTGTGTCTGGGCCTAACTGGAATTTGAATTTCTTTTACCTTGCTATTCAAGTAGGCCTTTAAGCTTCCGAGACTTGCAGCAGGCTGACCATATATAGTCTCTTGTCTGCATCATTGCTATCATGCTTTGCAAGCAACTTGGTTTGATCACAAGTCTAGCACCTTTCGATACAAAAAAGGCGAAACAATGTAGGATAAAAATACCTCAGACGAGTGGTAGAAGCTAATTAAGTTTATAGGGTTCCCCATCTCTCTCCTCCTCGTTGGTATGATTTATACCAGTACCAAGGCTCTTCAGTTCTTGTCTGTTCCCGTCTACACAATTTTCAAAAACTTGACCACAATTGTCATTGCATACGGAGAGGTTTTGTGGTTCGGAGGAAGCGTCTCTGCAACTGCTCTCTTCTCTTTCGGGCTTATGGTTCTAAGCTCTGTGGTTGCCGCCTGGGCAGACATTCAGAATGCTTTGTACGGAACTGCAGCAGCGGCTGGTTCCGATGCTGCTGTGGCCCTGTCTAGTTTGAATGCTGGTTATGCTTGGATGGGAATGAACGTTTTCTGCACAGCAGCATACGTCCTGTCCATGCGCAAGGTTATCAAGAAGATGAACTTCAAGGATTGGGATAGTGAGTTCTAAACACCGGTAAACTCCGATACTTGCTAACGTCTTCGCAGCCATGTTTTACAACAATCTCCTAACTATCCCAGTCCTCTTCCTCTGCTCTCTAGTCGTGGAAAATTGGTCATCTGAAAACATTCAGAAGAACTTCCCAATAGAGTCCAGGAACAGCCTTCTCGTTGGTTTCATCTACTCGGGTCTCGCAACCATCTTCATCTCGTACTGCTCAGCCTGGTGTATTCGTGTTACCTCCTCCACCACCTACTCCATGGTTGGAGCGCTGAACAAGCTCCCTATCGCAGTCAGCGGTCTCATTTTCTTCGCAGCACCAGTCACCTTCGGAAGTGTTTCGGCCATTATCATCGGTTTCATCAGTGGTATCGTTTATACTTGGGCTAAGGTCAGACAGAGCCAAATGAACAAGATGACTCTGCCAACCCAACAACCAGTCATGAGCGCCAGTTCGCAAAGCAACAAAGATGCATCGAGTTAATAAACGATTCTGCATACGAAGCTATTTAGCAGCTTCCAGCATCCTCAGCGAGGTCCTACCTAATACCGGCAACAGCTTCGTTGAGGCTCCGTGGATATTTCTTGTGTATTATACTTTTACTTTGTTCTTCACGTTTTAGAATTCGGGATGCAAGGATTATAAACATGGGCGTACATCTGCCTGGACTATTTGCGGCTCGAAAAGCAAGCTTGTGATGAGGGTGGTGATGAGGTCGTTTCTTGAATGCTTTTGAGTCGAGTCATGGCGCAAATATTGTAGGGATTATTAGCATGCTGAGGCGGCAGAACTACGAATAATGGAATCTAGACACCTGACTTTCTCCGTGTCCCTTCTATTTACAAGTATCTAAGTCTAATGCTCTATCCCCTTTCGAAACTGATTTTCATAATTTGCTATCCTTCCCCTTCGCTCCTACAATTGTCTTCGTTAAGGTTCCTCTTGCAATAATTTTCCCTTCACACTTCACTTCCCCCTCACAAAAAGCAATACTCTTTCCTTTTCTCACTACCCTCCCTTCAACTTCATACGAGTTTCCTTCCCCAGGCACGGAATTCAAGATCTGAAAACTTGAAGCGATAGTTGCAGCTGATTGTCCATCAGACAGGGTAGGAATAAGAGCTAAGAAGCACGCGGAGTCGATTATCAGGGATGAGATGCCGCCGTGAACGGTATTGGAGGGTGTGAGGTGTATAGAGGTTGTTTTAAAGTTCAGAATAGCTGTTGGAGACGGAGTATTGGCTTGAGATATGAGTTTGAGGCCAAGAGTTTGATGAATGGGAACGTTTAGGACGTCTTGTGTGAGCTTCTTCGCGTAGGATGGCGGATCCGAAGAGTTTGTAAGTGTCATGTTTGCTGGTGGTGTTAAATATGGTGGATAGGGCTTGAAGAATAGGTGAGATTGTGCCATCTTCATCCAGACATTATTATAGTATTTGGTCTCAGAATTGCGAATTATGAGATAGACATCGAAGTTGTGGTTGGGACTTTCGTGAACCTCGGCTGATCCAATGACGTTGCTTGGCGCGTCTTCAAAAAATGTCGTGTCTGTTTCAAAAATTAAGAACATTTGAGTTGGACTTGCGCTTCCACAACTACTTAATAAGAGCCTCTCAAGTCCCGACTTTCTTCAACTCATGGATTGGCGATAGCCTACATTTTCTTTCCTTAATATCAAAATGTCTGCAGTGGCTTCTTTCTCCAAGCCCGAATCCTCGTACGATTTCCACCCCTCCTCTCCAACCCAGCTAACTCCCTCAGTCTCTCCTTCACCCAAGGCCTCCTCCTTGGCCAGCTCTCCGTCGTAATCCTCATCGGCGCCTTCATCAAATTCTTCATCTTCGGCGACCCTCCCACCCCAGATGTGACAGCCGCCCTACGAGCTACAGAACGCCGCTCGCGAACCCTCGCACACAAACGCTCTCTCCTCTCCCTCCGCACATCTGCCCCTCGACACCCCTCGCTCTCCAAAAAGCGCTCCAGCGTCTTAAGAGCTCCGCCGCAGCTCACTACGAATACGATTTTAAGCAAGACATATTACAATGTTGACAGTCATCAGCCAGAGAGCTTAGACTGGTTTAACGTCCTTATAGCGCAGACAATTGCACAATTTCGCAGCGATGCACAGCATGACGATGCGATTCTCACTTCTCTTACGAAGGCGTTGAATGGGACATCACGGCCGGATTTCTTGGATGAGATTAAGGTTACGGAATTAAGTCTGGGAGAGGATTTC